AAAACCTTTGAAGTGATAATCGAGATGACCCATAGAAGGTGTGAGGAGAACTTAACCTGGGGAAATAGATTCAATTAGTGTAATGACCCAACCATTCCCAGTCTCTGTTTAAACCTAAGTTAATTGTATCTAATTTGCATATTAATTCAAGTTCAGCAGTCTCTCTTTGGAGTCTGTTTTTGAAGTTTTTTGGTTGCAAAATTGCCTAACTAGACTAATTATTGGTCCCTTATTACCCCATGGGAGTAAAGCTCGGAGCGGTTTGCCCAGAGTCCGTCACAGAATTCGTGGCAAAGACAGGACTTGAAGGCGGGTCTCCTGAACCGTAGCCTACTGTTCTAACCACTAGGCGATCTGTCCCGTCTGGCCGTAACCGAGTTTGAAAGACTCATAAGGGGGTTTCTCTTGCCCTGTTACTCATCTTCACTCTTGCCCCCAGGTCCAAGTGAAGGAAGGCGCCTTTGAGGAACTGCTGAACATCCTGGATGCTAACAGAGACGGGGAAGTTGACTTCCAGGAGTACATTCGCTTCGTGGCGGTGGCGTGCACCTTATGCCATGAGTTTTTCTTGGACTCCCCTGTCGTTCTGCCACGCGGACAATAAACCCACCCAGCTGGCTTTGTACAGGGCACGAATACAAAGCAGGAGAGCAAACTTATAGGTCTGGCAGCAACTGTGCCGCTACCTGGGAACCTCACACTGGGAAAGGTCATGGTGTGTCAAGGATTGAACTCGCGTCTACCTGACCCAAATACACAGAGCCACTCCCTTGAGCTAAAGGAGACTTTCCCTCACCGAGCAGCAGTAGAGCATTGTTTCTCAATCCTGGAGAGGAGGGTCATGAAAGGCAACCGGGGGTTCGTGAGGCATTGAAAAATGTATTAGTCTACAGCAAAGCAAATCTCCTTTCCCCATTCCCAGCACGGCCCGGTCCATCCAGGTGAAGTGTGCTCTGTCAACCTCTCAATACACAGCCACACAAATCAGTTATAGTGGCTTCATTGATACATTGTTGTACTCTTGCTTTCATAGTTAATGTGTTGTGTGTTGGGGAGGGGGGTGTCACATACATTTGTGACTGAAGGAGAACCTGAAAATGTTGAGCAACGCTGCAGTACAGGGTTCATGACACATGGTTGAACTGAGCTGATTGCATCCAGCAGAGGGCAGCAGCACTCCAACCCACATGCCAGTTCATGACAAGAAATTCCCAAACAGGATTAAGTTACACAACCCTGAATTCCACCGCACACTCCTTGCAGTTATGAACTATGAATAATTTGCATCTCATTTTAGTTAAATAATATCATGAGCAGGGCGCTGGAGATGCACCAGTGTTTCCAATCCTGGAGGTATTTTTGCCATATTTGCCCTGTTCAGAATTGACGGCCATGAGCGTGGAACGAGTCCAGAGCTAACTGCTTAGTCAGGACCAATTCCTTCCACTGCAGCAGGGTGAGACGGCTCTGGGTTTTCTCTCCTGATTGTGGGTTTTCTTCGCTTGTCCTGTCAGACTGGCTGGTTTGAAATATTACTAAAGACTTCGTATGACCCTGGGCGCGGTGACCGTTCAGTACGTGGTGGACCAGGTCCCCCCAGAATGAACACGTGAACGCAGGCAGTGTGGGAAATGGCTCCTCCCTAGAGATGAGGGGGACGACAAGACAGACCTGGCGTGCCGGGCGCTGTGACCCTAGGGTGAAGGAGGCCTATATAAATACTTAGGCAGCGAGCTGACAGGTGCATTTCGCTCGAAGCTGCAAAGTCACGCAGGTCTCTGACATCTCCGTCACCACGCAGAGCCGGAGTGTGGGAAGGGCTCTGAAGATGCTATTCTCCTCAATTCCCCCATGCACCCTTTGTCCAGCCCTACTGATTTTCCATCCCAACTAGGCAACCCTTCCCCCCTACTGCCGCTCCCTAGCTAAGGCCTGGAATCAGGATTTCATGGCCTGTGTGGCTGGCGGGCCCCCCCCCCCCGCCTTCCTCTCGTCCAACCAAGGATGAAAGTCCCTCCTTGCCAAACAGCTGGAAAGCATCATCAAAGGGCGGGGGTGTGTGTGTATGTGATGGCCCAGGGGTACTCGTGTTCTCCCGCCAGCTGTCTGCAAAGAGACTCGCACTTTCATTGGCCTCTTTTTAATTCTAACCCCCCCAAGTGGGTGTCCCTCAAAGCTCTTGCTAGGGCTATAAATACTAAGCCCTGTTACTCTGCCTCCACTCCGGCTCTGCCTTCCCTCGCTCGGCTTCCTGTTTGGTTGCCTGGGTAAGTTTGTTTTCTTCTAAGATGTTTTGGCGGCTACGTTTATTCTTCGATGCCAGCAGTTTGCATTTCGGGGCTGCCTCAAGGCACCGCGTTCGGGGGGGCAGGGGGCTCCCTGGGCGATCACCGGGGCTCTGGGTTTGAGGGCAGCAGAGCCAACGGTTTCTGTGAGTCAGCAGGGAAAGCCAGTCACTAACTTTCTGCAGCTGCCGAGCAGTCGGACTTTATTTCAGAGGCTGCTTTTTGCATCTGGCTGCTTGCGCTGCTCTCTTCTGCCGCAGATGTGGGGCGGCTGACCCCCTCCAGACACAGCTCTACGCGGGCCAGTAACCGTCCCCTTCACTCCAGGCAGGAGCCAGGACTCAGTTCTTGCAGCTGAACCCAGCCAATGCACATGGTGCGGCTGGAGAGTCCCTTCTTCAATGGGGCTTTTCTCCTCCATCCCCTGCTGCCACCCCTCTGTCCCCTCCTCGCCTCGGGGCTGGTATTCGGCAGCAGTGCCAGAAGCCAACACCCCGCCTGTGCTGGCAGTGGAGGCAGGAGGCAGCGGAAGGCAGGAAGGAGTGACACATCAGTGTGCCCTGCCCGTGGGGCACATCACTAGGCAGGCAGGGCCTGACGCAGGACGGAGCCTGCTCTGGGGCAGACCCTGGGACAGTTGGTGGAGTCACCCTGGATTGAGCCCAGTGTGACGGAGATCAGGAGCTGCCCCTCCGAGTGGCTGACCCGCTCCTGAGTTAGTTCTAGCCCATGGTCCGAAGGAGGGCGTGACTCTCTGCTGGGACCGGTGGGACATTGCGCTGGGCCGCTAACGGAGGCAGATGGCACCCGCGTGGACGTATAATTAGCCACGTTTCAGCACCTTTGTGGGCTGAGCTCAGGTCACCGCATGGGCTGGTGATGTTTAAGCGATCACAGAATTGCAGGACTGGAAGGGACCTCGAGAGGTCGTCTAGTCCCGTCCCCTGCACTCATGGCAGGACTAAGTATTTTCTAGACCATCCCTGACAGGTGCTTGTCTGTGAGGCATACTGCTTGTAGCGTGCAGGAAGAGGGTTGTCGTTAATACGGGGCTTCTGAAGGTCTGATTGGCCATAAACACCTCTCGGCCAGGCCGAAGTCCTACACGGTGCCCCAAGTCATTGGAAAGACAAGGCCCTAGCTGTGCGACGGGGTAACAGATCCCCGTGTCTAGCTACCTTGACTTTCTGCACCCCATTACCACCGGCTCCCAGTTATGAAAACAGAAGCCCCTCGCCCCATTGTCTGGCTTGGGGTCTCTTTCCTTGCTGGCAATGCACAGGTAAACCCACGCAGGCCGTGCTAAGCTCACGGAGCAGAGCTCATGCCGTCCTACACGGTAACTTCTTTGCCCTGGCCAGGCCAGTTCGTGCTCCCCAGTGGGGTGGACCCCCCCTCTAACAAGCATCCCTTGTCTCCCTGTCAGATTTGCTAGCAGTGCACGATGGCTCGGCCCCTGGAGCGAGCTCTGGACACGATGGTCTCCACGTTCCACAAGTACTCTGGGAAGGAAGGCGATAAATTCAAGCTCAACAAGGCTGAGCTCAAGGACCTGGTCACGAAGGAGCTGCCGAGCTATATCAGCGTAAGGGCAACGGAGGCTCGGCTGGGAGGCTGGGCCCATCTCCGCTGGGCTGAGCCGCGAGCTGGGAATCCGGTCGGGGCGCGTTAGTGACAGTAACCTGTGGTGGGATGGGACCAGCCTGGGCCAGGCTCCTGACACATGTCACAAGCGCCAGCCGGGCGAATAGGCGGCTAGCGATGTTCACGGGACACAGCAGATAGACCGGGGGAGTCAGTCGGTGCTCTGTTCTCGGCCAGTCCTGGCCCACTGCTGTGGCCTGGGGTGTGTGCTACCATATCTCTCAGATACGCTGGGAAAACGGAGGCCCTGATCCTGCCATTGGGCCCATGTGGGTGGCTCCTTGTGGGAGGCACTGATGACAGTGCGGCCTAGCGGACGGAGCACTGGAGTGAGACTCAGGAGACCTGGGTTCAAAACCTGTTGGAGACTGTGGGCGCGTCATTTCACCTGTCTTTGCCTCAGTTTCCCTGTCTGTAGAATGGGGCTAAAGATACCGACCTCCTTGGCACAGCGCTCAGAGAGCTGGGGATTGTTACTGGGGTGCGGCAGGGTCCTTCCCACACAGATGGGGTTGCTATTAAAGGTCCCCTGGCACCTGCCCCAAGGACCAGGGGGTTAGCTGGCTGGGCCATTAAGGTTAATTTGGGCATTTATGTTCTGCCTCTTTAAATACCCTTCCTAGTTTTGGCTGGATGTGGGATTCTCTGCGTCCCAAGCTACTCAGTGTGCGATGCACCATGAGAAGCTGCTGATGCTGATGGCGGGAGGCTGCTCCAGGCAGTGGGAGCTGTGGAGGAGGAGGCTGTTGTGGTGGGTCAGAGGAGTTGTCCGCCCGGGTACCAGCTCAGGAACCAAACTCTTTAATGCAAAACTCGCTTTTTATCTTCCCCTCCCCGTGGCAGAAACAAACCGATGAAGCCAGCTTCCAAAGGCTCATGAACAACCTGGATAGCAACCGGGACAAGGAAGTGGATTTCCAGGAGTACGCGACCTTCCTGGCCTGCGTCGCCATGATGTGCAATGAGGACTTCCAGGACTGCCCTGACAAGATGCCCCGGAAGATGTGACGCCCGGCCCTGGAGGCAGCGGGGAACAGACACCCAGAAACTCAGCTCCGGGGGCAATATCTGGGGTGTATCCCTGCCGTGCCCTGCTGACAGCACCCTGCTTATTGTCCGTCACCCATAGCCCCTGCATTATGAGGCTGTTGTTCTTTCAATAAAGGTTGCTTTAAAGAAGGTCCCTGGTGTATTTTGCAAACAGATTTTTTTTCTTGGTGCCCAGATACCATGCTGATGGGCAGATTCTTTATTGTCCAGGGTCACAGGCATGGACAAAAATAGAACCGTGACTGATCCTCGCCCTCTGAGTCTGGTCTGGTCTGATGTATAACAATGACAAGAAATGAATCCTGCAGAACCCCATATATTTCCCCTCCCCTCTGTTGCTTTGCCTGCTGAGTTAACAGCAGAAAGAGCTAACGGTCCTAGAGCCTGGGGCACATAGAGGATAACAACCTACTACTGCTACCAGCTAAGAGAATTACTCCTTTAGCTCGTGTGGTAGGGGTCTCTGCTAAAGGTCTGGGGTTAAAACCTCATTTTTCAGGAATATTTGGTGTGGGGGTTTAAATTTCGGGTGTGAGCTGAAGCTCACTGCCATCCATGGGCCTCTCCCCCCAGATCAGGCCCTCAGTGACCTTACAGCATGTGGAATAAATAGCGGCAACCCAGG